AACAAAGAGTAGTTTAATAAAATTTTGAATGTTAGACACTAAAACCTTGTATCATGCAGTAAAGTGTACCCGGGCCGATAGGGTTAAAAGTGTTTTCATGGAAAAAAAAAGAAGGCAACTTTCAATTAAAAGTATACACATTTGGTTACACAAGTTTTGGACTACAAAGTAAGAAGTTTGATGAAAACACATCATGTGAAGTGTTTGAACATTTTGTCTCATTTGCATTCCTATCAGCTATTGCAGAGGAGATGAACAAATACTACAAATATGTAATCAAAACAGTGAGAATGAGTGAATACTCATGCTTGTGACATTGAAATGACTCAACTGATGTTTCCATTGCTTTATGTATGTTGATTTGAGCAAAAAAGAAGTCTGAATGAGTACTGGTTGCAAGATGAATTGTTGGAAATGTCAATTTCTCACTGCATAATGTCCAGGAATAGATTTTTTGTTGATTTTTTGTTTATTATATTTTTTTGTGAAAACTTGAAACAGAAAGTAAATGATAATTTTCACAAGATAAGAAATATAACAATGTATGCTAAAAACAGTTGTCAAGAAATAATGCATCATTTGAAAATCTATACACTGAAAAGAGCTTGGTTTTATTCAAAGGATGTTTGGGATCCAAGCAGTATATTCCTTCAAAAGGAAATTACTTGGCAGGAGACATCTTGTACTGTGTGATGTAGATACTGGTTTTGTATTGAGTTCTGTAGTTTATACTAGTTTCCAGGAAACCCTAGGATTTTCAAGAAGTATAGTAACAACATTAATGGAGCCTTACCTCAACAAAAATCACTCTCTGTATGTTGACAATTGTCACACAAGCCCATTATTACTTAATTGGTTACATGAAAATAAAACAAAATTATGTGGCACTTTAAATAAGGCAGATAAAAAATTACCAGTCCTAGATGCTAAACTAAAAAAAGGTGAGGTTGAAACCAACCATACTAATTCAATGATGGCATTGAAATGGAAAGACAAATGAGAAGTTTATATGCTGACTACACTTCATATAAACGTAATGTTTGAAACTGCAAAGAAAGATCATCACAGTGGTGAAACATAAAGAAACCAAAATGTGTTTCTGAATACAATAAGAACATGGGAGCAGTAGATAGGCCAGGTATGATGCCAAGTTTAATTTCTTGTCTTCAAAAGGCACTGAAATGGTATAAAAAGTTGTTTTTCCATTTTATTGATATATTTTTGTTAAATTCACATGCTTTGTATCTGATGATTTAAACTGATCACACACCATTGCAGGCTTTTCAACTACATCTTGTGAAGCAGATACTAACAAATACAACATGCAAACTCCATCAAGAAAATAAAAAAGACTATCTAATTTACCAGCAATAGAGAAGCCTCTTTGCCTTACAGATAAGATTTCTTTCATCCTCAAGAAGAGCCAAAAAAGCATAAAGAGTCCAGATACGCATGCAGCGTGTGTTGTAACATTAAGTATTGTTCCATGTTTTGCTGAGTATCACCAAATCCAAAATTTTTGAATAGAAATAATTACAACTGAAATATTGTTGGTGTATTTCCTACTAATAAATAACTTTATATTAAGTATAATTTTTATGTGATCATTTATAATGTAATAAGTCAATTTTTTTGTTTTATTCAGAACAACATCATAACACATGACAATTTAATGTAGCAGTTGAAAGGTTAAAAAGCTGATCAATTGTTATACCCAGTAGAAATAGTATACATTTAAAAGGTTGAGGTTTTATTGGCTAAAATACTGTTACAGCACTTGAAAGTAAGAATAGGTTGATTTCTTTAAAACTCAAAATTTAAATTTGAAAAGATCCAGTTCTTCCATTAAATACAGTTTAAAAAATGGATAAAGACTGTTTTAAATTTGACATATTCAAATATCAAACTATAACTTATAAAAATGGTTAGGTACTTAAACAATATTTCATTACTTGTAATTGTTTAAACATTTGAAATATGTCCCATATTTATTGTAATTTTTTTAAAGACTATTGAAAGATTTGTATAACCTTTTAAAACATATATATATATATATTGTTATTGGGTAAGTTGCAACTTAAAGGTGTACTTAACAGGAAATAAAAACTAAATAGAACTAGAGCAGATTGTTTTGTATTAATTCTAAAGACATAATTATCACAAAGATTTTATAACATTTACCAGGGTAAAGATCAAGAAATTCAGATAGAGTTTGAGGTTTGGTATCTGTCATGATATAAAAGACTGTTTGGCTTAGATATTAGTGATTAATTTATTTTTGTGAGTGAATATTTTATTATTTTATAGTTTTTGTTATAATAAGAGTTAAAAGCAGATGATTCTAGGAAGTTTTGTTAATAATTCATTGACATTGAGTGTATAGAAGGTTGACAGACAATTAAGTGATAAAGATATAAATAGTGTGAGATGAGTGGGAAGCAGCAGACAGATAGTAGCAAAAGAGAATAAAGTTGGTATGAAGTTAACTACCGTAGAAGTGATAGACCTAACATTTAATATGTTAGAGTGTAACTAACAGTAGAAAAGAAGATAAGAAAAATAATTTTATTCTGTCAAAGCATGGTGCCTGAGTGCACTTTGACAGAAGGAACAGAGGATCTTCAAATGAAAGAAGACCAAATGATTACAGTAACTTTTGCCACAATTGTAAGTGAATGACAGAGAGTACTAGTGCGATAGAAATAGAGAAGATAGTTTGACTTGTCAACTCAAATTATAAAGTAATTGAATATGCCTAAGTGGATATTTGACAAGGAGGAGAGAACTACGTATATAGTATTTATGATATGTCCGTAATATCTATAGTGTTGAAGAATTTATTGTACATACGTTAACTTGTTCTGAATATATATATTATTTTGAAAACAAGTGAAGTGCTTGCTGTTTATTCATCATTGAATTTATCGCTAACAAGTCACAGACACCTACTTTAGAAGAATCCTAAGCCTAACAACAACATAGTATATATTTATATATACCATTAAGAAATATAACTAAAAGCGTTTTTATTTTACAATTGGCAAAGATCAGATTTTTAAATTCTGACAGTATCTTTTCCCAATAGTGCACCAATACTAAAAGTTGAATGACTTCTAACCATTAACTATGGTCAACCAAAATACATGTAACATATACTGGTTCCTCTTGTTTACGCTTGTATGGATGAATCCTTTTGAATATAAATTTGTTACTCTTACAAATGTCTAACTCAAACCAAATTTATAAAACCTTGAATAGCTTCATGTAGAAATAAAAACAATATTTTCACCTATGACTATACTTCACCTCAGTGAAGTGTTCTTTTGAGACAGTAAAGAAGAAGTTTAACCTATTAATAACCTCTACAAGTTACTGTATTTAGAAACACTGAGATGATTTTCAAAGACTTTATTAAAATAACCATTTAACACACCATAAATTGTATTTGTTACATTTATATATCTTTGTAGGTTAATGTTTTTATACAGAATAGTGTGTATAGTCTACAGCTGAATGGAAAAGTTTTATATTTCTTCATAATGGTCAGATTCTTCATTACGGCTGATTTGGAGAAATGATAGGAACATTCTTCTTAACTGCTTTAACACAAAGCTCAGTGGATTGAATTATGAAAATGACAGTCATCATGGCTAAATTGTTGTTTTTTCATTTTCTCATCATGGTTGCCTTATTGACTATGGTTGACTTTATTAACCTTTCTATTTAGTGTATCAATTATTTTCATTTTATAATGATTATTCATTTGACTTAATAGAATTATCAGTTGCATCGTGTAATGAATGAATGAAAATAAAAACAAGTATTAAACCTCTCTAGTTCAACAACTGATTGTGCATTGTTTTTGCTAGTCTCAGCTGTCAGCATTTCACCAGTCTTTGTATTATTGTTTTACCATGTTGTGTGAATTTCAATTTTACTGAATTTTTAGCAAATATTGTCAGGTCAGAATCAAAAGGTAACAGGCATAATGCCTAAGGGTACAATAATCTTTGAAGCCATAACAATGTACTTGTGTAATCATTTTCCTATTCGTGAAACAAAAATTGTTTTGTGTCTTCTTACCCCCAAAATCATTATGCATCAAGACTCATGAATTTGAATGTGAAGAATTTTGAGCATCCACTTGAAAAAAAAAGAAACATGTTTTAATTAAAGCTTTGTGTTTAATAAAAACATTCTAAAAACACATTAAAACCCTTAATACATTTAATAATATGTATGTTTGCAGCTTATGTTGAGAATTACCTCGACAAGACCTTCTACAACTTGACCACTGTAGCCCTGCATGACTGGAAAACTTACGGGGAAATGAGAAGCTTAGCAAAACACAAGTATGGATTAAAAACTGTGGAAGCTCATCTTCCTAGCCAAACTTTAGAACAGGTATTTTCAATAGTTAAGCTATGGTAGTAAAAGTGGTATGTAAAATAGAAAGTAACAATCATAATTTTTTCCTGGAAGATGCTTATCAGTAACAGTATCATATGGTAAATCAAAACTTGTGCTTTTCATTTTCTTTCCTTTCTAATCCATAATTGATACTGTGTGTTGGGTTATGGAGAGTGAGAGAACAAAGTTCAGTTGCTGCACTTGATCTTGCCTTTACATTAAGGGTTACATTCTCTGATTGTGTTGTAGTGATGGGTGTTTGATATAAGTGCAATTATAATATAGGATTATTTATGGACCTTATACAAAAATAATTGCAGAATTGTTCAAAACTATACTAGAATTTGTGTAATGTTAGTCTTTTATTATCCTCCAAGTGATCTAAAAGCACCAAATATTAAAGAGCCAGAGCTGCTTTACTATAGAGTAAAAAATAAAGTCGGGGCCCTTTAGATTAAAGAGTCAGTTTATGTGAACTTTACTTATAATCATACTTTGCATCTTGAAGAGCATAGATATTGTATACTTCAGAGCACATGAGTCAAGAAAAAACTAGGTCTAGCTTAGCTTACATGATTAAAACTTCTATAATTGAGGGTACTTTTGTAATTGTGTTTGTTCTCAATGCGGACAAGATTATGTGGGATCAACAACATATTGTTTAGATCAGTACTTAAAAGAGCATCTGAAGCCTAGTGCTGATAATATTTCAAACATCTATGCATGATGTTTGTGCCAAGAATGTGATGGACTGCAGGTAAAAACTTTGAAGTTATATGTGTGGTTCTAACAAAACAAAATGTAAGAACAGTATTGAGGTAAAAAAACAAAGACAATTGTACATTTCACAAATACTTTATATATTAATGACCATGGTTTCCTCAGTTCTGTAATTATGGAGTTTCACCAAGTACTGATGGTTTCAAGTATCAAAATGGAAGAATTAAAACCCAAAGTTCAATTCTAAATCTTTAATGTGGACAGCTTTGCAGTCATGAAGTCACACATGAAAACGAATGTTACTCTTGGTGCTAAAGTCTTGTTTCCCTTCATGTTTTCAGTTAAATGATGTAATAATATAGGCTTTAATAGACATAATCAGAGATAAACCAAAGCAATGATTTTACAAGCACCAACAAAGGTTACTATATATTGTTATTTAGCTTTTATGTAATATATAGAAATTTCCTTTATCTGAAAAAAAAAAGTGTCCTTGAAACATAAAATAATTTAAGATAGTTTTTAATATTTTTCAGAGAGAGAGAGTGTCTATAAATACAGTTCTTTACCTTTTCTAACTTTCTTTGTTGTTGTAACATTAAAAAATAGTGAGATCTTTGATGGTTTCAATTGATAAGTTGTGCTATTTAATTCATAGTTTGAGTTTTGCAAAAGCTACAGCTGGCTAAATTTTGAAGACTTAATATTGTTTCAGCATTCTTACACTTTAATTAACAGATCAAAGTTTGGTTTAGCAAGAATAATTTAAGTGTTTATTACAAATTCTTACATTAGAATTCATGATATTTTGATGTTGTTTAGGCAATTTCTTTGGTGAATTCTTCTCACCACAGAAATTTGCTTAACTCTCTTCATGTGTAAACAGTCATTTTTTTCATATAGGTTCTGTTAGAAGTAACATTCATATTGTGGCAGAGGTGTATTGAAATGTTGCTGGTGTTTTTATAGAATTTGTTTGTTTGATGTTATTAATAAAACCTAGAATTTGCATAGTTGAGCTCATGACATGCAGTCATATTAACCCTTTTTGCTTCATCTTAAGCCTAAAATTATATGTCCAGTACAAAAAGATAAAAAGGAAAAATGACATGATATCATATAATTATTATCCAATGTCTTCTAACTAAATCACCTTCATACACCAGTTGTGCAAAGCATTAGGACTATGTAATTGGGTTCTCTTTTGTTGTAATTGGTGTTTGTTTTTCAATGAGAATTTCTGCTCTGCTTCTATAGGGACTGGATGTTCTAGAGATCATGAGAAATATCCATGTGTTTGTGTCAAGGTATCTTTACAACTTGAACAACCAGGTAAAGCTTTCTCCTCAAGCTACTAATATAAAACTATAAATAATGTATGCATTTCTTAAAACTATCAGTTATATAAGTAGCTTGGATTTTCTTGTATAGCTTCTGCTTCTTGTTATGAGTATTCTTTGTTAGAATTTTGTCTGTGGTGAATTCCATGTAGATATACATATTATGAAAGCTTGTGAACTTAAATATAAAGGCTGTGCAAAATTATGTTTTTGCCATCACAAAAACAAAATTTTAGGCCCAAAAATAATGAAAATATTAATTTTACGATTTGTCCTTTTGCAATGTTTAACATGGGATATTTATTTTACAAAAATTTTTCTAAGCTTTTGACAATATGTATAATGATATAAATTTTGTTCCCATATTTGGCCATTTTAATCCAAATGAACAAAGGGAAAGCTTTTTTTGCTGTTAATTATGATCAGTCAACCTTGTAAATTTATCTTAAATTCAATTTTTAGTGGTTTTTTTTCTACTCACAGTGCACCAGGAAACACAGGAACTGTATTTTCTGGTTTAAGTTATGATTTATTTTGTTAACAGGATCTTTTCCATATATCTATTAGAGAATACAGTGTTTTATTATTTTATCCTTGACATTAATTCATTGCCTACTGGTAAAATGAGTTAGAGAAGTTCATGAATAATTTTTGAAATGAAGTATTCCACTGAAATTTGAAAAAAAAAAGATATTAACAAATTATTCATGCTACTTTATTTTTTCTTTTGTATTTAAGTATAAGGTCCCTTGAAATCAAACTGGGGTCTCTAAGATGTTCCCACCTTAACTTTTAACCTATTTTCATTTAGCAACGTTTATTTTCATAGCAAAAGTATTTCTCTTTGGTTTTAACAATAGTTTTGGAGCCATTTATAATTTAAAGCAGCTTTAATTTTTAAATATGTTTCTACTATACTGATATTTGGTAGTATATATGTTTTGTCTTTTAAATTGATCCACACACTGAATTTATAGCTTAAAAAAGTGTTAGTAACGTATGATCTTCATTGGATTTTGATTTATTATTATGTAAATAGAACATCCTATTACATTTTACATTGTGCAGAAATAAAAAATTGGTTTTTGTGTCATGATAAATGTGTTTCTAGTAAATTGATTAGAATAATACTAATAATAATACATAATCACTGGTGAGTTATCAATAATATCTTATCAATGCAAGCTAACTACACAAATCAGAATGAATAGGGGCCTGGCATTGCTCAGTGGTTAGCATGCTGGGTTGTGAATGTGATGGGTTTCTGGTTTGCATTCTGTTTCCATAAAATTGTGTTCCACACTTTTGATCATGGGTGTTTTAAGATTGATGATCAGATTACATAATTCATATAGAATAGCCCAAGATTTGATGGTCTAGCCTTCTCTCTCTGTTCTATAAGTTCAAAAATTATGGATGGTTAGTGCAAAGAAGAAAAATAATTTGGCACATGACAAAAAGGGTTTTACTATATGTTAATTTGTTATTAAATAATATAGAAACCAAAAATCATCTGCTTATAAATATTTTAAATGATTTAATGTTAATTTTTGTTTGGAAATTTTGATGAATTGCTATTACTCTTGCTTTTCAGATCTTTGTTGAATGTTCCAGTAATAACAAACATCTAAATACTATAAATATTCGTCATATTGCCAACTCCATCAGAACACATGGAATTGGAATCATGAATACAACAGTAGGTATTGTTTTTGTAGTTTGTTGTGTATTTAAGCACTGACTATGATCATAATACGTTACTATAGTTTTTGGAACATGTGAATTGTCTTTGAAAGTCGACTTAAAACTGAATAACTAATGCTTTTGATATTTTGAGCTGAATCTGATTTTATTCTCTTCTTTTTTGTAGGTTAACTTCACATATCAATTTCTTCGGAAGAAATTTTATATTTTTTCTCAGTTTCTGTATGATGAGCACATCAAGTCCCGCCTTTTAAAAGTGAGTACTTAGAGAATACAGATAAATATTGCAACTGTAGAGATTTTACTGTTTAAAAAAAACCAAGTAGCTTACAAAAAGCCATTCAAGTGTTAGATGTGTTTTTTATGTAAGTTTCCCATGGATAGGTATTCACACATTATGAAAGAGGATTAGTTTATGGCATTAAAATAGACATAGTAATTTGTATAATATATTTAAAGTAAGGTTTTGGATACACAAAAGAATTAATGATGACCTTACAAGACAAAATTATTAACGTTATGGAATTACAGAATGTAGAATAATCTAATTCCTTGAAAAGTGTTAATGAACTGCATCTGTCTGTGACGTTTTGGACAACTTTTCAAGCTACTAATGCAGATCTTTGTGAAGATCATTAATATATAAAAAAATATAATTTTGTTGTACATTAACGATTTCTATACTTTTACATCTTATAAATGCAGGCAAACTAATTTTTAGACTGTTAGTTCAATTAGATTAAGCTTGATCACTGTGTCTTTTTACTTATTTCAACATTACATAACTGTGCATCTTTTCAGTACATTTTTTTAACTTAAGTGAATTTATATAGCATAAATTTTTCTTTGTAAAATAGTTACAAAGTAGTGTAAAATGTTAGCACAAGTTCTTAATATTATAAGTTACAAGAAATATGCTAAAGCATGAATAATTTATTTTTAACTTTAGTAAAGAGCTCCATGGCTTGTTAATATGATCAATAAAACATTTTTTAATTTCTTCATTTTAGTTTAGTTTTTAACAAATTCATTCCAATTAATGACTAATTAAATTTAAGTCTTACTTGACAGAAAATGAATAATAAGTAGATACTACTAAATTAGTAGACACCATTGACAGAAAATTGATAATTAGTAGGTAACTACTAAATTAGTAGACATCATTGACAGAAAATTAATAATTAGTAGGTAACTACTAAATTAGTAGACATCATTGACAGAAAATGAATAATAAGTAGATACTACTAAATTAGTAGACACCATTGACAGAAAATTAATAATTAGTAGATACTACTAAATTAGTAGACACCATTGACAGAAAATTGATAATTAGTAGGTAACTACTAAATTAGTAGACATCATTGACAGAAAATTAATAATTAGTAGGTAACTACTAAATTAGTAGACATCATTGACAGAAAATTAATAACTAGTAGGTAACTACTAAATTAGTAGACATTGACAGAAAATTGATAACTTGTAGGTAACTACTAAATTAGTAGACACCATTGACAGAAAGTTAATAATTAGTAGATACTACTAAATTAGTAGACACCATTGACAGAAAATTAATAATTAGTAGATACGATTAAATTAGTAGACACCATTGACAGAAAATTAATAATTAGTAGATACTACTAAATTAGTAGACACCACCTTACTTTGAGAAAGTAAAGATTATTTAGCCAATTTTCACAAAGAATGCTTATGATTTGACTAATTCAGAATTTTATTAGTGTTAATTTTTGTTCTATGAATAGGATCTCAGGTTTTTTAGAGAAAGTAAGACACAGCAGAATAAAAAGGTAAGAAATAACACTTTAAAACGTTTTTTTAAAGTAATGTGTTAAAAATAAAAACAGAATTTTTGTTTCACACAAAGGGAAAATTTATTGAAAAACAAAAAGTATTTTGGAAGAAATATGTTTTGTTAAAATATTCACTTCCTTTTTTTTTCCTATTGTTCTAGAAAACTACTTGAAATATGATTACTTTCCTATTCTGGATTCAAAAGAAAATTAATCACACAGCAAATAATTTTTGGGTTTTTTTTTTTTGTCAGGTTCCAAATTTCTGGTATTTTTTTAATTAGTATATTAATGCCATTTTTAGAATATTTAGATGTTTTTACATTGCAGCTCATGATAATTACTCATGCAATCCCCCCAAAAAAATATTTTATCAAATCTTTACATATCTCATAATGACCAGTAAATCTTTTTTTTTGTTGTGGTTATAACACTTTGTGACTAGAAAGACCTAAATGAGGATACCAGCTTATCTATAGTTTATTCAACATACACCTGGATAGAACTTTATGCAATGACTTCATTATTTTATTACAAATTAATGTTCAAAATCATTTCTCTATAATTCTATAAGTTGTTTGTTGTTTTTACTGATAAGTTACTTTCTGGAGTGGTGTAATTCAAGAGAAATAATGTATGTACATTTTAGTATTCTCACATTTAATATTGTTAAGTAGAGTAAAACACCTGCATTTTATGAATCTGCTTTTGAACATATTTGATAACAAATGTCATATTATAGCTAGCTGAGTTATGTCAGTTTTCATCAGTCTCATCAGCCAGCAAGCTGATGACAAGAAATATCGTCTATAACTGTGGAAACCATCTTAATGTAGATTTTATATATATATATACATATATATATACATCTTTCAACCCTTTCATGCTGAAATATATTGTATTTGAATTAAATTCATCAAGATTTTCAAACTCTTGCCAATTTAAATATCTAAATGAAGAATAAAAGTGTTTAATTGTTTAGAAATTTTATAAGCAAGATTTTTGTCTAGTAATTGTTATAAATCAGGTGTCTGTTTTTCTAAAGTAGAGGGTTGCATCCTTCCAAAGTACGCTAACAATGTGATCAAGCATGGAACTGTGACATTAATCTAACAATTTAATGAAGTTTAATACTCTTAAGTCTACCTATAAATATGACCAAATTTAATATTATCATGTTAATCTATTCTCAGTATCCCTATGAAAGAGCAGAGAAATTTAACAAAGGAATAAGAAAATTGGGTTTGTCACAAGATGGGCTGAGTTGTCTGGATCAGTTTCGAAATTTAATCAGTCAAATAGGTGAGTTTTGAATAATGTTTAAAAGTGAGAGCTAATGTTTCATTAATAATAATCCTAACATTTAGAAAGAATTTGAAAAAAAGTTAAGTACAAAATAATATTAAATAAGAACTTCTGAATGAAATAATGATATCTTAACCAAACTATATCTGCTATATCCAGTGCTGAAAAGGGCCTTTCACCCAATAACAGGTTCTTCAGGCCAGCTGGAGATGACAGACATAGTGGTTAAGATGCTATTTATATTGTTAATAGCTAAGGTGGTTAATTTAGGAGATTGTAATAAGTATAATCATCCTTCTGTAGTTGGGGCTGATTGTTAGATTATCCCAAGAGAATAATTGCCTAAAACTTCTGTTAAGTAATATGATGAACAATACTAAAGCCAAAAAATTCATATTTGTACAGTTGTATAAAATTATGCAATTTTTTATTAGGCTAGAAATGCAGGAAAACATGGCACTAAAGTTATGGAAAGTTATATTGAATATTCATTATAAAATCCAATTTTGAAATTGCAACTAGTTGAACTTAAGTAAATATGTATAATTATATAGTACCTCGCTCTTAGGCATGTTATTATTGTTTGTCTTTATAGTTAATTTATGTATTTTCAGTTGAGTTCACTTTGCATATACACTTTATTTATTCTATTCTGAGTTAATTCTGTTGTTTGTATGTACAGCCTATTTATTCTTATCTGAGTTAATTCTATGGTTTGTATGTACAGTTTATTTGTTCTATTCTGAGTTAATTCTGTGGTTTGTATGTACAGTTTATTTATTCTATTCTGAGTTGTATCTGTGGTTTGTTTGTATTTGTTTATTCTGTTCTCAGGTAATGCCATGGGTTATGTGAGAATGATTCGTTCAGGTGGACTTCACTGTTGTAGCAATGCCATCTGCTTCATCCCAGACCTGGATGACATTGTCAATTTTGAAGAACTCTGCAAGGAAGAAAACATGTCAGATGAATGTGTAAAAGCTGCAGTCAAACTTGATGCTGTAATTAGTAATCTGACCAAAAACTTTTCAGAAGGAACAGAATATTTCAAGGTAATGGCTAACAATTAAAAAAGACAATATGTTATCCAGCAAAACAAGCAGGGTTTTAGTATAATTTTTTCTCACTTATTGTAGTTTATATGAAATTTGGCAAGCTTTTAGTAAAGATTACAAGTCTTTTGTATACAAAACATCAGGTTTTTGATAAAGTACTTTTACTAAAGATTTATCTGTGAATTTACAAAAACCTCTTCTTTGTCAGTCAGAGTGAATATAAATATTTTTTTTCACTTTACAGTTTTCATATTTCATTTGCTTAACTCCTAAAACATCATAAATTTATATCATAAACTTGTTTTTGGTAAACTCTTATAATATATTTTCTCTACCCTAACACTTACTGTAGCAAAATAATTGTTCTTTGAACTGTGTCTAACTACTATGACAGGCAGTAAATCACTGGGTGGGATAACAGAGTAAACAAAAGGTTCAGGTTACATTGTCCACAACTAAACTGTAAGCATTATCAAGAGATATTTTCATTTATCTTACCAAACCTAATAAGTTTTATGTTTTATTTACTTTTGTTAAAAAAAATGTATAGCAGTACATAAAAACTATACATAAAAGAACATAAATTTAGAACTTACCTTAGCTCTAGATTAGCTTGCGCTTGAAAGCTGTGCCAGCTCTTGTAACCATAAATGTTTCTTCTAAGTTTGTCTTTTAAAAAATACTTCATTGAACTTACAAATATGAATTTTAGAAAACTTAAAAATATACTGCTCACTAAATTATATAGTACAAAAACTACTGTAATTTATTTGGTTTTTTAGCTAAATTCTAATTAGGTAAAAAAAAAAATTTATTACTCTTGGATCAGCATCTTCAGTCCAAAACCAGGAAGCTCTGATGGCAAGTTAATTAATTTCACAGCTCAAATAAAATAGATGCTCATGTTATTTTCACAGTTTACAATTTGCTCTTTCTATTGGTTATAAACATGACCATTAGCAATGTAGGCAGGATTAGAGTGAGTTAATCTATGAGACCTTTTATTCCTTTTTATTAGCTATATTTTTGTATACCAACAATACCAAACATGGGGCACGCATATACCCGATTCGATTTTATTACTCATCAGGATATCTACAAGCATACCCTCAAATTGAAATTCTTTTAGGTGGATTAAAGTAAATTAATCTATGAGACCATGGGTGTGGTCAAATATATTAATCAAAAGGGTTTGAACCTCTGAGTCCAAAACTGTAATTAGATCTCAAATCAGTCAAGAGATGACAGAGCTATGAGCTAAAATTTGTACTTGAGAAAAAACTTGGAGCCATTCTGTGAGCCACTATGCCACAGCAAAAAATATCCAGATAATTGATTTTCAGTCAAATATACTTCAAAACTAATATATAATGTGAAAAATAAAAAAATTAAATGTATATTATTACTAATAGTAACAAAATCAGAATTAAATAAATACAAAAATATATTAAGAAAAGATAGAAGAAAGATTATGAAGAATACAATAACCTTTCCATTTCATATCATAGTTACTAACAGAGTAAGGAAGACGTTTGCAAAAACTGTATCCTTTGAAACAACTTTATTTCATTCTACAATGTATAACTTTTAAACTTACAGAAACTAAGTAGTATTTACATTTCTTATATTACCTTGAAAGGGGAAAATAAGTTAAATAACCTTATGCATTGTAAATAATATAGCCTTGACAAAAACACATTATGTAATGCTAGACAGTAATAATTGACCAATAATTGATATGTAATATAGTAAGATATAGTTTGTATTTTATAGATTTAGAGTAGACTAGTAGTTAACTTTGGACATTTTATCATTTTTCTTCATAAGTTATATGTGGAAAAAGAAAAGTAATGATAAAGGGAAAGAGCTTGATATTACCTTTAAATGCCTTGAATGGCAAAGCAGTTCATTTTTGAAACTAAAATTTGTTAGCAAACAGGCTAACTCAGTAATTTACTTTTCTTAGTCATTTGAGAAAGGTCTCAAAGAAGTAATATAATAAGTTTAAATAACCTGTAGTCTTTCTAGTATCTAGTGTACACAATGACACTCATAACTTGGTCATTACTCATTGAAGTAACTACCCATAGAAATAATATATTAAGTTTAATAACCCATTAGTCTCTTTAATGTGTAGTTTGAACAACATTATGGTACTCAAAACTGAAGATCACACATCACAAAATTTATATTTACTTAAACTCCTAGCAACCAAAAATTAACAAATTACTCTAAGTAAATAACTGAAGAAAAACTACTGAGGTTTTAGTACAATGTAATCCATTTCTGTACAGCTTCTTGTAGATGTTTTTGCTCCAGCCTTCCGAGACCCCAAAAATATGCACCTTAGGAATTTTTTTGTCATTTTACCTCCTCTGGTGAGTAGCTTGTTTCATAATGCAGAATATAGAAATATTGTTTACAGTTCCAATAGATTTAAAACAATATCAATATATATATATATATTTCATTATTTAATCAAAAATTGCAGAATAAGTTTTTCAGAGGCTATGTAGTAACTTATTTAATAATTAAAGAAGGGAAATGTACACTATTTCATGTTTCATTTTAAAAACAATTTTGTGATATCTCATTATTATAATTTGAAAACAAAAATGTAAATTGAACTCTTTTATTTTTTACCTTCTAAGACACTTAATTTTGTTGAGCATTCCATTACTTGCAAGGAGAGAATGAACCGAAAGAGCAAAATAGAAGCTTCTTTCACAGATGATGGCTTTGCCATGGGTAAGTCTTTTTTATAACTAAGATAAGTTTAAACGATTATGTAGGCCATGTTAAGGTCAAAGTGATAATGTTTAACTTAAAGAACTATTTTGTAAACTAATATTCATGGCACACTCGGATTACTTATGATATTTATAATCTAACTTATTCTCTTAAACTTAATTATAGATTTCAGTTGGGTTTTTCTCTCATAAGCAAAGCCAACTGTTAACAATTATCAAGTGAATTTCACCAACAGGATATGGTCCTCTCTATACTTTTGTTTGTTTTTTTTCATTAGGGATGGGTAATATTGTGTGATTAAAGCATGAAAGTCCACCCTATTCTCTGATTTAGTTTTCATTTTAGTTTAAACTTGGTCCATTGCTAAGAATTTGAATTTTAAATCTGTATGAGGGTCAAGTTACATCAGAGATCAAGATAAAGCATTTTTTTATCTTTTTGTTTCCAAACAAGGCAAATTAAGGATCATCAGTTATTCTTCAAAGTCAAGATGACTCCATGGTTATTGTTTAATGTTGTTTCTTGTATTGGCATACTTGATCAAGTTGTAGCCTTGAGAATTATCTTACATTTAATTCAAACTGAATATGAAAACAAAGTGTTTGAATAGTCAGCTCATTTTGTTTGCTCTTAATTACCACATTTGGTGAGGTTACACCACAAACCCAACATATGTGATGATTAAATGTGTATTTTTTATTTCTGATCATTCTGAAATAATTCATAAGACATTTAGATTATATAATGCATATGAACCTTATTTTTTGTACATTACTTATGATTTGGAATCTGAAAAAAAAAAAATCATTAATGAACAGAAAATATCAGTGCAAACCTCTGGGAAAAGGATATTAAAATTAAAACCAATTGTAGGCTAGCTATGTTCATTACTATATGGGATGTTCAGTAAGAAATGTGATTTTATTTTCTGTTGGTCAACTATATCACATTACAGTCAATAAAATTGCACCAGTGATGTTGAAGGTATAAGCAACCAGTCAACACTTCTTAAAATAGATCCTGTTAATTACATTGTGTTCTGTCTTTGTTACATGAGCAACTTCTTGATACAAGTTTGTAAAAAATGCAGGTGTATTAAGAACATCAGTTGTTTGGAACACTTGTCTACATACACTGTTTTTGAAAGTAACATGGTGCTATCTCAGGACTGTACTCACAGTATGGAAGGTCTTGCCATTCAAACTTCTCATTTGCTCTGACAATAAACAGGTATTGAACTATTCCCATGATGTTTTGTCAATCAAAGTTTACTCACATCCAACACAGTGGATAGAAAATCTCATTTCTTTCTGAACGCTTTTCATGCGTAAAACATTTATTTGAATTATAGAACCACTGTTGATGTATGTTTTAGTGGATAACTTTTACTTTAAAAAATAAAGTTGTAGTGTGATTGATTGTGTTTTCTGCTTCTTCTACTAGGAGTTGCCTACATTTTAAAGTTACTTGACCAATATCATGACTTTGACTCAATTCATTGGTTTACTTCAGTAAAGGACAAGTTCAATAAAGAAAAGGTAATATTGTCCTAACATATATTGTTTACACTTCCAGTACTGTAGAATTGTAACACTAGAAAACTGTATTTTGTAGTATACTTGATTCTAATTTAACCTGTTACATAACTGAATATTAAACATTTTAAAAGCATTGTAGACTATTTTTATTGCAAAATAAAGTATATTGTTGTAATAGTTTTGATTTTATACTATTACTGTTTCTGGTTCAACATAGAATTGTAATTTATATATATATATATATATATACTAACTTTTGTTTAAGTTATTGCAATGTGTCAACTGTTGCTTTAGCAAACTAAATTTGGTTTATATAGCATTATGCTTGTACTTCAGTTTTTTTATAATTAATTTTACAATGAACAATCTTAAAATATGAAAATTATTGCAAATTCTCTTTGGAAAAAAATGCATCAGTTATTCTATCAAACATCCTTTACAGGGATCAAATAATAGTCTTGGACCCAGAAATTCATTTTTTTCTATACAGCATTTTTAATAGCTTTCTTCATTTCCAAATCTAACTACAACATCAATACTCTTAATGTATATTTAATTTTTTACAGGAAACAATGATAGTCAATAATATTTTCATTTATTTTATTTATTCAATAAGAGTTAAAGAGTTGCTAGCCTTATTTTTTGTTATTATACTATGTATTGATCACATTTTTCCATATTTCTAAAAGAACTTCCTATGAGATTAATGAATCTGTAAATTTAAGATAAGAGCTTTTATATTTGTATTATTCTGTACAGTTCTGAGACTTATTTAATCAATCTCTTGTAAATTTTCTGGTTCTTGTAGGCTGATGCTAAGAAACAGCAAGATTCTGTCACTGGCCGAGCTGATGAAAAGTTACAACAGACCATACAGTTGACCTTAAAACGTTTAGAAATCTATGAACAGGTTTGTTGTTTAGGCATATAAAAAAACTGTTGGCAGTGGATAAGTTTTTTCTTAACCCTCTATCCACAATCATCTTTTTCTGTGCATGTCATAAGGTTTTATTGAGTTACATTCAAAATTTAATAATACAACTTTCTTTTCATGGGATTCCAATAAATAGAGCATAAAAATTTAACTAATAATCCATTGTTAACCTGATGACTACTGATGCCATTTTTAATTTCCTTTCTGTGTATGAAACTGAGTTACATTCAAGATTTATTTAATCCACTTTACTATCAATGTATTATAACAAAATTATTATTTTCAAGTATGTTATAATTCAAAGTTTTATATTATCTAAATTTTATTCCTTTATTTGAAAAAGAAACATCTAAAACAGCATTTAAAACTGTAGTTTTTGCTTCATGTGACTCACTCGTAGTTACATTATCTCAAGTTTAAGAACTGGCACAAAAGAAACTGTTTGGAATGCAGATAGCTCCTTCAGGAAGCCAAAGTAAAGATGTTTTACATTCCTTCTCCTGGCTATTAGAAAACTTTGCTATTCCCCCCTCCCCCCCCAGTAAAAGCTGGAAATATTTTTTTTAGATTGTTAGCCACTCCCATCT